GGATGTGTCTCCCAAGGATGTAAGTGTATTATCTACTATTCATCAGTGCAATGCTGATTTTGCATTTGAGACCTGAACATTGAGCCGGAGCCTCTTTTTGAGTCTCTCTGTGTAACGGTAACATGTATGTATGATATGGTCCGAAAAACTCTCACAGCAGCTCACACACACTATCTTTCCTTCTGACTCAGTAATGCTCCATCTTTCATTTCTGACAAACAAATCTTACATAGTGCAGCTTCCAGTGAAAGTATGCATGATCATAGTTGTGAACACTTTTAAGTACAGTTGTCTGCTAAAGTTTGGGGCGACCGTAGTTAAATTATGTGTTCTGTTGATTTGCTAAGTGAAAATAAGTTAGCATATCTTCTACAGAGAACACACTTCTGCACATTTTAATACATAATTACTGGAAAAAATTTAAAAGCTAAAATGTGGCCTGTGCAAAGGTTATGGCACATTTTATATTTTATATATTGTTTTTTATGTATTACATTTTTATTTTGTTTTTTTTCCAACTTTGTGTACTAAATTTTGCAGAAAGAATTCAATATTTAAGTGTGTTCCTGTAGAGCTTTTGTTTACTTTTTTTAGCACATAAAATCAACAAAACATGTAATTTGATTGGGGGTGTTCAAACCCTTGCATACAACTGTATGTTTTTTCTCTTAGTACAAATAATCAACTTCAGCACATATGAATCTTCCAAAACAACACTTAATATACTACAGTAACAAAGCACAATTATTTGATTATTTCCACCTGACATCATGCATCAAGCCCTTTCAGATGTTTTGAGGGAAGCCTGTTTAACTGGGTTCCACCAGGGGTGGAAAATACTTTGTTACTGTTAAGAAGTATTATTTGTACTTTACTTGATTATAATTGAAATTGAACACTTGTACTTTTACTCAATTACATTGCCCAGAGAAAGAAACACACTTTTCACTCTGTGACGTACTTTTTCCCACCTCTGCTGCCCCCACATGAAACATATTCACATTCTTCTACGATTTGGAGCTGTTAGCAAAAATCAAGTCAAAAATCAAGTCAAAATCAAGTCTGTATTCAAGGATTTTATACCAGCCTCATTAGAGGCCCTCTGACCTACCAGTTCGGTTACATGAGCCAACTTTAAACAAGGACCACGAGAGCAGGCCCCATCCATGAGGCTGAAGTCGAGGCCAGACCCTAGTTTTATCCTCCACATGACTTTAACCAACCACACATACACACACTCACAAATACCATAACTTCTCCCGCCCTTCCGACACTCTCTTTTTGTCTTTCTTACCTTGTTTGTGGTACTCAACAATCACGTTTAGCAGACTACGCCCTTAGTCTCTGCCACTGTCTCTCTCTCTCTCTCACTTTCTCTCTCTCTCGCTCTCTCTCTCTCTCTCTCTCTCTCTCTCTCTCCCCCACAGCTTGTGACTCTGCTGTCACTTCCTCCAGCCTGTCTCACTCACCCGTTAAGGTTTCACTAGGCCTGTGAAGTGACTGTTCCTCTTTTTAGCTTATTTCTTAAGCCTTTTGACTCTGCATAGAATATAGTTTCTTTTCCTCTTACTGAGATGCATCCTGTTTTGCCTTGTTTGCTTCGTGATCAGCTTTAAAAGAGAAATTAGAACAGTTGGGGCCCCACATTTGACCTCACACCAATACAATGATAAAGAAGTGATGAAATGCTATCAAATACACTCTACAAGACAAAGGAGTCATAAAAGTGATGAAGAAGTGCCAGGAAAAACCTATGAATAATATAACAGGGGTGGGGGGATTACACAGATAAGTGGTGAATTGTGAAGAACTGTAGCTTATCAATGAAAATTATGATGAAATGAAGAGCTGGAACTGAAAAAAGCAGACAGTGCCCTCTCTTGGACAGAGTTTGTAACTACCACACAAATCTGTGAACATTGCCACACGTTCACTTGTCTATTAAAGGGCCTGTATTGTGGAAAGAGACTGATGTAATATGGAAAAACCAACACATCAACATGTATCTGCCTATTTAGCCCACAGCAGTTTAGCTCCACTCATTCAGGCTGAAGTTACACTATATGGCCAAAAGTATGTGGACACCCCTCCTAATTACTCTTCAGGAATTTCAGCCAAACCCAGGTTGCTAACAGGTGTATACAATCAAGCACATAGCCATGTAATCTCCACAGACAAACACTGGCAGCTCAGTGACTTTAAACATGACATGGTCACAGGATGCCACCTTTGCTAGAAATCAGTTGTGAAAATTTTGTTGTCCATAATGCTTTGTCCCAACTTTTTTGAAATGTGTTACTGGCATCAACCCTGCGATGGACTGGCGACCTGTCCAGGGTGTATCCTGCCTTCCGCCCAATGACAGCTGGGATAGGCTCCAGCAACCCACCGCGACCCAGAAGGATAAGCGGTTTAGATGATGTATGTATGTATGTATGTTACTGGCATCAAATTCAAAATGGATATACATATTTATAGATCAAAACAATAAAATGTATTGTATGTTGTCTTTGTACTATTTTCTGTTAAATTTTAAATGATTTGCACATCATTGCGTTCTGTTTTACATTTTGCACAGTGTCCCAACGTTTTTGGAAACAGGATTGAAGTCTTAATTTTGAATTTTTTCTCCCCTGCTAGCTGGTTAATGCAAATCAACCCAGACAGCTGACTTTACTGCTAGGAAGCTAAATATCATGTCTGTATTTATTTGCATACACACCAGTGGCTATGCTAGGGGGGATTCCCAGTGGTTGTATGTGTTTGTATAAAGCATGCTGGGTATTGTAGTGAAAAAAATATTTGTTGGCAAAAACACAACAAGGACACAAAACTCCAAACCAATCTTTAAAATTACCCTTTTATGATTAGTTATTTGTGGTTATTTCACCAAAGAAAACTTTTAAAATGTTTCATGATGCATCTTAATTGCTAAACTTGAGAAAAATGATACTTTTAAAGGTTTTACTGCTATTTCTCTGATGATCAACATCATTTAATACAAAGTTTGACTGTGGCTAGGTTAGCTTACAGGCTAAAAAACACAATATTTTCAATCAAGCCATTTTATTGAAAAAAATCCAAGAAAATTCAATTTGCTAATATATATATATATATATATATATATATATATATATATATATATATATATATAGTATGTATGTATGTATGGTTTCATTTTTCACTGATCCTTCAAAAGTGGATTTTAAGGATTTACCAAGACAAATAAATAGTTGTCCAAATAAATAATTCATATGTCAGGGTAAGTTTAAGATCTTTTGTATACCTCTTTTAATTGCCCTGTAAGTATGTTCCCTAATGGAAAAATTAACTTACTTCTGTGGCCCAGAGAACATGGCGTCCATTATTTCCATAAACAATCTGTAAGGCTGATTCAACTAAAATCATTGCAATTGCTCATTGTGTAACATTGTTTTTAAACAGCTGGACTTACTGCAAAGAGGCAAGCCTCGACCCATCCTTGGAAAAGGACTCATAAAACAATAGGCCTTTCCTGGATGCTCTTTTTATACTCAAGCATGATTACATCACCTCTTACATTGCCTTGTCACAGCTTTTTAAACAGTGTTCCCCTACTGTCCACTCTATTAGACATGTCTACCTTGCTTGGTCCACCTTGTAGATGTAAAGTCAGAGACGATAGCTCACCTGTTGCTGCAATTTGCGTTGGTCATCCTCTAGTCCTTTATCAGTGGTCACAGGAAGCCGCCCACAGGATGCTGATAGCTGGATATTTTTGGTTGGTGGACTATTCTCAGCCCAGCACCGACACCGAGGTGTTACTTATCCACATAGATGGACTACAGTCTGTAATTACAAAGCGCTACTAGGTGCTCTTACGGTAAGTGGAGCTTATAAAATTGACAATCAGTGTACATACAAAATAGATGTACCTAATAAAGTGCTCAGTGAGTGTATTCACAAACAAATTTAGTTGATAAGACCAAACATTAAATATCTTGTTTTTATACTGTTTTCATTTAAATACAGGTCAAAATGGACTTACAAATCACTGCTTTCTGTTTTTAATTGCATTTTAAACTGTCCCAACTTTGGTTTGTATTGGCCTTTTATACTCTAAAAGAGTAAAACTGTTTTTACCACATTTCAGTGAAGACCTCATGTAAAGACAATGCAGTTTTGTATTGCTCATATTTGTATTACAGACTTTTATTTTGGTCCAATTTGTAACTTTGTAAAGTAAAAACTGCCTAATGTTTCAGTTTAGAAAGGAATTCCACCTTTTTTTTGGAAAACGCCTGCACAATTGTTTAGATGTAAGTCATTCAGAGTGGTTTTATGAGAAATTCCTTATTGTAGAGACGCTTACCTAGTTAGAATTGTTCAGCGATTTGATGGGAACCAGATGTCCAAATCATTTATTGCCTTGAAGTCACATCACAAAGTTATTACATGAAATTGTTGTGAATGTTGCCTGATGCCTGAGACAGTCTGTTTAAAAAGTGCATCATTTTTGTTCTATAGGTGCCAACATGTTGAAATGTTATGAATTTGAAACATGGAAAAGTCAGAGCACTTGAGAAACTCACACCTTCCAAGTTGGAATTGAGTTGGAGGCACAGTCCAATGATTTTCCCCACTTTCAAATCGGTGACAAATGCAGCAACATCTGAACTGAATTATGTAGAAATGTTGAAAAAGTGGTGCAATTCCCCTTAAAGCAGTGTCTCTTCCAGAAAGAGGTAACGCTGTGATTGTGTAACCAAAATTAAGTCCTTCATTGTGAACATACAAAACTGCTTAATATAAACACGACTCACTTTCTGTGAGGTTCTCCACATCCTAAAACTATTTCTAGGTTACAGCTAATAAGCTTCATCCAGGCAGGAAGTCAAAGGCTATTTCAAGAAGTGACCAGAGGCTACAAGTTGACTGGCAGTCATTTTTGTCCTGCCATCTTAGACCAAATTGTGACTGTGAGGAGCAACTCGACTGGACTCTAGTTGCATACCCTGGCATGGATGTCAGTCAAAGATTTTATTGAAGTGAAAAGACATTGAGCATGACAGCAGCCAAAGACATTCAAACGGCCCATTCTGCTCTTCATACTGAAGACGAAAACATCAGACAGATGACAGGCAAAGGGATTTCGAGTTCAGCAGACACTAAAGCTCATCTTCAAGTCACTAAGCACTTGCAGTTGTCAGCTATCAGATAAAAGAAGAACCGCCCACAACAAAAGTAAACACTTAAAAATTTTTTTTAAAAAAATGGTTCTTCAAGGTTTCTTTACTAAAGGACATGGTTTTGCTTAGAACGATTTCATGTTCAAATGGTTTTGTGCATGGTGAGATGGGTCTTCAGATTGATTGAGAATGAGCTGTATATGGTTCCATACAGAACCTTTCTAAAAATGGTTCTATATAGTACCAAAATGAATTATTCTATTGCTACAAGCTTGACATCATAATAATAGCAGAATCCTTTTTGGTGCTACAGAGAACTGTTTCTAAAAAGGTTATCCATCAATCCAAAGAACCATCCCACCATTAAAAAACCTTTTAATCTTAAAATGGTTTCATACAGAACTCACTGTTCTGTTGCCTTTACTAAAGAACTCTTGAAGAACATTCTTTTTAAGTGTGTACTCGAAGGCACCCTGCAAACAGATGCCACACTTTTGAAGTCTTGAAGATGCCCTCTGAGCTGTGAAGCCTATATAGAGTGCTTATTAGGGATGTTTCAAAACGCTTAATGTGAGAAAAAAGGCTTAACTTGGCTTAACGTAAAACAATTTAAGAACATAAACACCATGGTGCTGTATATCTGAAAGAGTACTTTCTTTGGGTACTATTTGGCCTTACAATGCCCCATTTATATCATGTTTAGAACTAAAGTAATGGATAACAATGTTTCAAGCAACTCTGTAATGAAGCTTTCTTTAGAGGCATTAATGCTTCGGACATTCCCATCATCGCTGTTATGAGTCGTGACTCAAGTTTCCTCTGGAGCATGCATTTCAAATCAAACCACTCCAAATGACAATTATGCAGAAATCTTCCTCTTTATTGTACAAAATGTTTTGCATTTAGATTTGTTTTACTGTCTTGCCATTAGACAGTCAGTGACAGAGTCAGTGAGAGAGAAACCTGGTGTTCCCTGGTTACTGTGAGTTATATATTGAGTACATTAAGCCATGTTGAGTTTTCTTTTCCACATTAAGCATTTTCATCCCCTTTTATGCATTCGAACAGTAGCAATGCTAAACGAGACAGTATTCTATCAGAACCATAACATGAAAAGTTGGGGAGGTCACATGTATCGGACTTCTCAAATTAAGAGTGCTGATCCAGGATCAGTTTCTGCCTTTTGTCTCTCAGCCTCTGTGTCTGGTCTCAGTCCTCCTGTTTGGGTGAACTGTTTGAATGACAAATTACTTCCTTTTGGGAACTGAATATTGACACAGATAGGCTGGCGATGGTGGATTGGTTTTGATTCAAGTCTTCTTCCACTGGATACGAGGAAGTGCAAATAAATTAATCTCCTTTAGCTCAGCTGCACAGTGACTTTGCACCAGATCCAGACACCACATCTTGCAACATTACAGACTTTCCCGTGTGAATATGATTACATTGCCATGGAGCTGACCGCAGATATGCACTCTTACCCTGAGATGCCTGACAGACAGAAGCCCTGAAATTCAGTGAAAAGTGGCAGCCATCTTTATCACACACTACCAATCCCACAGGCAACAAAATTCAGAAGATTCTCAGATGTCACATATTATGATAGCAATAAGCGTCTCGAAATGGTTACGCAACTTGTACTGCATCCAAGAGGGCCATTAAAATATGCCATTCTAAATGAGATGTGAACTGAGTGAATCAGAGGATTTAAGGACTGACTGCATATCAGATTTAAAAAACATGTTACCACACTGAGACTCTCTTCAGTGCTTCTGCATGCCCTACTACACTGACACAAGCTTGATCTTCTACAGATTCTCAATGGCAAAATAAAATGTAAATACTTTCACTTCACAAGTCATGAACACTGTTGATACCAGTGTTCTGTAAGAATAAAATCTAGTATTGCGTGTTACATGTTTGACATAACATGTTTAATGAATATCTAATTAAGGCCTTACATTGAAATAAAAAAGAACCCTATCACATAAAGAGGGGGAGTATAGAGATGAGAGTACATTTTGGTGAGCTAGAGTTCGTTTGGAATGGCATCTTCTTCCCTCTGTGGTCTTGTGGCGGTGTTGATCTGGATGGTGCTAGCCCTGGTTCTCCTCCGCGTTCTCTTTATGATTACCGGATGGCTATGAGGCCAACATCTATCAGTTTCTGAATCTTCTGAGCAATAACTGGGTTTTTCAGGTGACTGCAGAAATGAGAGACAGGAAGGGAGAAAAAAATTAGCATTCAGTCGCTTGACTATGGCAAATTACAATACAGAGTTTTATGTACATTTCGCTGTACTAGGGGTTGCACAGATTTGAATTATAGCTTACGTAATTCAACCTCATTAACTGGCAGCAAATGCACAAAAAAATAAAAATAAATAACAGTTAATTTTTTTTTTGCGTTGATAATCTTTTTCCTCCCCTACCCCCTCACCCACACATAAATACAACAAATACTGGGAACCATCTTGATGTAAATGAATAAAACTTGATATTCCTTTTTTTAATAAATAAAAATGAAAAATTAAAAATAAACCTAAATTATTTAAATGCTTTTTAAATTACCAACATTTTTCAATTCAAATGCCAAATTCTCAATACTCCAACATAGTAAGACATCACGGTTTTCCAGTATGTTCAATTCAGCAAATAAATGTGCATTACAATGTACAGAAAGGTGTTTTCTACAGAGGATGAGTTATATTTACTTTGATTAATAAAATTAACAAATAATATAATTTGACCAGGGGTGCCGTGAAATCATGTCTGAGCCTACCAGGACCTAATTTCCATATCACTTACATAAAGCTTCTACTTCATACATGTTTCAGTAGAGTTATTAAAAAAAGAGCATTCAGCAGCTCAAGAACCAATGGCCGTGCTTGTAAGAGTTTAAGCACTGAGTGCACTGCACCTCCTACTGACCAAACTTTATAGCATTGAAATTATAAAACTGGAAAAAACTAAATGTGAAATATGGATGATTTTTTTTTTTAAGAGGGTAGAATGATTACTGATGTAGCATAATTACTGTCCTAAAACAACACATTTAAACACTGTATTATTGCAGTGTATAAGATTCACTAGCTTTGTTTTGTATTGTTTATTTTTTCGGGCTGTGTCAGTAGTACACTAGGATAAACCTAAAGCACAGTATAGTTTTAACCAGAACATGGAATCGTTGCAGCATTTGTTCAAACCCATGTAGACGTAATAAGTGCATCCACTTTTGTACTGGATTACCATGTGCAGAAATTATATTATGTTCAGTTATGTTTATGTCTGCTGTGTTGCTATGGTTTGTAGCAAACAGATCAACAAATGAACTAGTTAGCCACTGGCTCAATATACAAGTTTGCTTCTCATCACAGTGATTAAGAACCAGTGCACAGAAGCAAATTCTGACAACTGTGGTCATTTTAGCACTGCAGCATGCATAGATGGTCCATGCACAGCTATGGGTAGAGCAACGGCATCTGAGACTAAATACAACAATTGAACTACAACAGAATGTCTGCTATGCTGATTCATCTCAAATGCAGCATATACTACACCAACCACTTTCTCCAGATTCTCTGAATCTTTTAATGTTATGTACTGTAAATGATGAAAACCAAAAGTTCTTTGCTATTTTACCTTGAGAAATGTTATTCTTGAACTGTTGCACTTTTTGCTTGTCTTTCACAGAGTAGTGAACCTCATCTTTACTTCTGAAAGACTCAGCCTCTCTGGGATGCTTATTTTACACCCTATCACGTTACTGACCTGTTGCCAATTAACCACTAGGTTTTTTTTATTTTTTTTTTAAGCATTACACAACTTTACCAGCCTTTTGTTGCCACCATCCCAACTTTTTTGCTACCTGTTGTTGGTATCAAATTCAAAATGCAGCATATACTTCACCCTAGCTGCAAGCGACTAACAACATATATTTCGATGATGTCCAGAACACTTGTGTTTTCTTTTTTTTAATAGTTATAAATTAACCATCTTGCAACTCCTACTACATACAACCCTATCTCCAAAAAAGTTGGGACGATGTGCAGAACGTAAATTAAAATTGGATGCAAAAGATATGCAAATCATGTGAACCATATTTTTAAAGGAAAATACTACAAAGACAACATATCAAATACTGAAACTGAGAAATTGTATTGTTTTTTCAAAATATATGCCCATTTTGAATTTGATGCCAATAACACGTTCCAAAAAAAGTTGGGACCGGGGCATGTTTACCACTGTGTTTCATCACCTCTTCTTTTAACAAACTCTAAGCGTTTGGGAACTGAAGAGACCGACTGCTGTAGTTTTGAAAGTGAAATGTTTTCCTGTTCTTGCTTGATATAGCATTTCACCTGCTCAACAGTTCAGGGTCACCTTTGTCGTATTTTTCATTTCATAATGCGCCAAATGTTTTCAGTGGGTGACAGGTCTGATCTGCAGGCAGGCCAGTTTAGCACACAGACTCTTAATATAGAGCCATGCGGTTGTAAGACATGCAGAAAGTGGTTTGGTACTGTCTTGCTGACATAAACAAGGCATTCCCTGAAAAAGACATCATCTGAATGGCAGCATATGTTGCCAAAACAAGTATATATCGTTCAGCATTAATGGTGCCTTCACAGATGTGCCAGTCAGCCATGCCATGTGCACTAATGCCCCCCATACCATCATAAATACTGGCTTTTGAACTGTGCACTGATAACAAGCTGAGTGGTCTTTAGCTCGGAGGACACAGTGTCCATGATGTTGATTCATCGGACCACAGGACACTTTTCCACTTCCCTGCAGTCGATTTTAAATGAGCTCGAGCCCAGAGAAGGTGGCAGTGTTTCTGGATCCTGTTTATATATGGTTTCTTCTTTGCATTTTCGAGTTTTAACTTGCATTTGTGGATGTAGCCAAGAGCTGTTTTATACCCTATCATGTTACTGACCTGTTGCCAATTAACCACTAGGTGTTTTTTTTTTTAGAATTACACAACTTTACCAGCCTTTTGTTGCCCCCATCCCAAATTTTTTGCTACCTGTTGTTGGTATCAAATTCAAAATGGGCATATATTTTTCAAAAAAACAAAATTTCTCAGTTTCAACATTTGATATGTTGTCTTTGTACTATTTTCAATTAAATCTAGGGTTTAAATAATTTGCACATCATTGCATTCTGTTTTTATTTACATTTTGCACAGCGTCCCAACTTTTTTGGAAATGGAGTTGCATATACATTTAAGTAATTCATATTTTTTCAGCCTTCTACTCTTTACTATTCTTGTTTTTTCCTTTATTCTGCACTTTATTATGATTCTCAGGTTTAGCATCATTTTGCATTTCACTTAAGATTCTCAAACTGAATGTCTCTGGACAATATCAGTGACACACAATATTACTGTAGAAAAGGAATCTAAAAAATGAACACTGAGTGAGAAGGCTGAAAGCATCATAAAATCCAATTTAATCTAAATCAAGGAGGAACTGAGTATGAGCCAGCGATGTGTTTCTGTGCGTGTCTTACTCGCTGAGGGCCTGAGGGTCTTTCTGCATCTGCTCCAGAATCATGCGCATGGCAGGGTCCGTCATGATCTGCTGCACCTCCGGATCAGCCATGGCCCTTCGCTTCACCTCCTCTGGGTTGTCATTCCGCACTGCTTGGCTCACCATACAGCGCTGCAGGCCCTCTGTTGCTTCCTGCATGCACAAAAGCATAGTAAGCAAAAGTAAGGGTGGCCAATTTTTTCAAAAAACAGAAAAGCACACAACTTCCAAAATACACAATATGCATCACAATGTTTAGTTGCGCTGAGGTTTTAGAACAAGTTAGAACAAACAAAACACACCAGCAAAACAGCACTGCCTATCTTACTATCTATTACTATAACTGTAAAGAATAATTATTTAAGGAGAAAAAAAAAACAAGCTCCTGGTAAAAATGCATGAATAATATGAAACAATGGCATTTATCCAGTTACTTTACCCTGCTAGTTGTTTGTTTATAGGCTCTCTATGATTGGTCCAAATCTGTAATGTCTCTGTTGATTCCCATGACATATTTAGAAAAGCGTACTGTGACATCAATTCATCATGATAATGATTACAGATCATATTGCCCATATCTATGTGAACTGATTGTTTTAAATCAGCAAGAAAAAAAAAAACAAAAAATCTGTTCCTAATCCAAAGATTTCTTGGTGAATACATAGAAGCATGCACACACAGAGTCAGTGGATTTAATGGGAATTAAAAATATTTTTCAGCCCTAATTTTTGTGGCTGCAACAATACAATACAATACAAACAATACAATATGTGTACCACTGTGCTGTGGCTAGCATTACTAGCCCAAATCAGTCTAATAATTAGTATTTGTTTAGTGTTTCTAAGCTGTTTAAAAATTTAAAAAGTCTCAAATATTCTCCTTTTATAATGTCTGAATGCTCTTGAAAAAGTATGTTCAATCACTCCTTATTTTTGCTGCGTTTAAAATGTACATTACTTTACAGTATTGAATCAAATTGTGAATTTTGTTTTGTGAATGAGTCATTACATTCCTTCTAATTTTGTACCTTAGAGTTTGAATCCAGCTCCAGAGCTTTTTGGTAGGCATCCATGGCTTTGGAGAAGTCCTTCATTGCCTCCAGTGCTGCCGCCTTACGTGTGTACCCTTTGACTATACATGAGCAGAAGAAAGATAAATGAAGTGACCTCAGCAAATCAAACATCATTTACACCAGCCTTAAAATACTGCAGAAACTTACTGAAGGTGGGATCCAGTTTGATGCACTCCTCACAATCCTACAAAAGAGAACATGACTTAAACAAGGATTTAAACACAGGCTAAATGAGGGCAATGGTGTGTAGCAGTTGGTTGAGCATTAGTACGTGTTTCTGAGCTCTATACCTTGAGCGCCAACTGGAACTCCAGGAGTTTGGTATAGCAGGCCGCTCTGTTGCTGAAGAGCTTGGCGTCATTGGGGTTCCTCTTTATGGCCTCTGTGTAGTGCTTCATGGCCAGAGGGTAGTCACCTAAATATCAGAACAGTACAGAGACTGCATCTTTTAACTTCTAACTAGGCCTATCTTGATCATGAAACGTTAAGTGACAATTAATTGCCATAAATAATTGCAATTAACATTTTTTTTGTTCATAGCATGCAATTATTAAAGCACAAGCCTAAAGCAGACAAATTGGCTGATTAGCTGTCTTGATTCTCTACTCAAGCCGAGTATATATTTTTTTGTGACACAGAACATAGATTTTACCAAAATAAAATATTATTAAAATGTAAATGTATAAATAACAGGACTTACAGGTTAGAAAGTTAGTATCGATATCGGTACTCGATATCAGGCATAGATCAAGTATTGGTATCGGAAGTAAAAAGTGATATCAGTGCATCTCCAGTTGAAAATGCAAGCAATTTACATATTGTTTGACGTAAACATATGATTCTGAAAGTTAACAACTGTGTAGGGCTGCAACTATCAAATACTGTCTACAAGCCTGTGCTATCCAGCCAGCTCATGCGCTAGTACGCTCTCATTTATTCTTGGAAATAAATGCATTTGAAGAGCATGCTAACATGAAACCGCATGAAACATGCTAACATGAAACCGCATGAAACTGAAGATTCCTATTTACCAGATTCTTATTCATATTTTTCATTCGAGTATAAATGCCGCACATGCCAGAATATAATTGCGGCACCAGGTGGAACCAAAAGTTTGAAAAAAAGGATGACAAAAAGAAAGCCAACTTCAGCGTTCTCATTATCACTTCAGATGCCCTCCGCAGCTCTAATACAGACAGTTATGAGCAGGGTCTCTACAGCCTGACCTCTGACTACTACAGAGATGTCATCATGGCTTTGACAGGAAAGGACTGTTTTACTTGACATGAAAAAAGGCTAACCATAAATCGCTGTTTTTGCATGATGTGGAGGCAGATTATCTTGCCGTCTGTAGATGTGCTGCTGTGCTACCGGTCCACTCACTGCTTCCCATCAGACTTTGATAACTGACTTTATCTAATTATATGGAATACTTGTTGTAGCAGAAAGTATTCAAGTAATCAAGTATCAACTGTGGAAAAAATGGACTGTGGAATTGCTTGTGGAATCAAGCAATTATGTAATAATTATGACAGGCATACTTCTAGATGAAAAAAAATGGACAGCAGGATCGGGAGCCACTAAATGAGAACAGATCCAAAAGCATTGGTGTGAAAGTGGATTAGTGGTATATGGAACTGAAACAAGCACCCTGTGTGACTCCTTCTCTCATACACACACATCCCTACCTTTCTGGAAAGCCTCATTGCCCTTGTTTTTCTCCTCCAGTGCCAGGTCTGGGTTAATGTAAGCCAGTTTCTCCTGCTCCTTTACTATCTTCTCTGCCTGTACAGGACAGCACAAACACCAACTGTTGTATAGAATGACAGCACAAATCCATTCATTCCTTGATGTATCTAGCTAAGTGATACTCAAAGCTGGTCTTACAGCAACCCCTTCCCAGCATTTTTCAAATCACATATTAGATCAGGAGACATACTATATAGTGCAGGACACTGATACTCCAGCAGCAGAATTAAGTGTACATTTAAACCGCAAATTTCACTATCAAGACTTTCCTTTTGTATCTGATATATTCTCCTCCATAATGAGCTGGTTATTGTCTCATTTTACATTACTGTGCACCGTTCTGCATAGTAAACCTACCTGCTGGCACTTCTTCAGCACCTCAGGAGTGCGGTGCTCTGTCAAGCTTTTGTTAAAGAACTGAATGGATTCCTTATACCTCTCCTGCTTGAAGTAGGAGTTGCCAATCCTGGCATACGCCCTGAGGGACACAAGAGAATCAGATAACAGCAGTGTGTAAATTCAACTGAAGTGGAAAACACAGTGTGAACTAAAATAGTTGTGACAATGTGCATCGTGGAGATGTAACAATGTGTTTTGAAAAATAGACATTAATTACACCATCATTGAATGCAATTGCATTGTTTACATTTGCAAACAACCCACAGAAGCATGTTCATTAGTAAGCTATGAAACAATATGGAGACAGTCGTCATTTCTCTTCAAATTTCGTTCAAAGTATCACGAGAGTATCAAACTGCATTTATATTTATAGAGGTAGAGGTACATTATATAGCAGCGTGATAAGGTTGAATTATACTTGAGTGTCTGTAAATCTGTGAACATCTGCAAAATTGGACAGAAGAAGCAACACAGTGGACATGATAAAGAAAATTTTCGTTTTTTTAACACTGTAATTAAGGATCACTTGAACAGCTTGATCATCAAACAGCTCCATTTAGATTTTCTGCTTGTTCTGGTTCAGGTTGAGTATTGTCTGGTTGTCACTGCCCAAATGCTACCAGCTAGTCATCCAGCGTTTGCTTGACACTAAGCAAAAACCACAATTATCATAATTACCTAACCTTTTATCATAGTTCACAGAATTATCACACTTTCATTTAAATAATAAAAAAAAAGTCATTAAGATACATTCAGAATGTTTTTTTTTCTTATGGCAGTATATACTATACGGACAAAAGTATTGGAACACCTAAACAAGCTTTCATGACATCCCATTCTAAATCCATAGGCATTAATATGGAGTTGGTGCCCCTTTGCAGCTGTAACAGCTTCCACACTTCTGCAAAGGCTTTCAACAAGATTTTGAAGTGTGTCTGTGGGAATTTTTGCCCATTCATCCAGAAGAGCATTTGTGGGGTCAGATGGTGGACAAGCGGGCCTGGCTCACAATCTCCTTTCCAGTTCACCTCAAAGGTGTTCGATGGGGCTGAGGTCAGGGCTCTGTGTGGGCTAGTCTGGTTCTTCCACACCAAACTCACCCATCCATACCTTTATTGACCGTGCTTTGTAAACTGGGGTGCAGTCGGGCTGGAACAGAAATTCCAAATTGTTCCCACAAAGTTGGAAGCATACAAACGTCCAAAATGTCTTACTATGCTAAAGCAGTAAGATTTTCCTTCACTGGAACTGAGGGGCCTAGGCCAACCCCTGAAAAACAACCCCATAGCATTCTCCCTCCTCCACTTTACAGTTGGCACAGTGCAGTCAGGCAGGTAACGTTCTCCTGGCGTTCGCCACCCCACAGAACACGTTTCCACTGCTCCAGTGTTCAGTGACGGCATGCTTTACACCACTGCCCCCGATGCTTGGCAACGTGTCTGGTGATGTAAGGCTTGCATGCAGCTGCCCAGCCATAGAAGCCCATGCCATGAAGTTCTGTGCTGATGGTAATGCCAGAGGAGGTTAAGAAACCTGTAGTTATTCAGTCAGCAGAGCGCTGGCGACTTTTATACACTACGCGCCTCGGCACTCGCTGACACCTCTCTGTAACTTTACATGGTCTGCCATTACATGGTTGAGTTACTGTGGTTCCTAAACGATTCCACTTGTAAGTAATACCACTTACAGTTCATTGTGGAATATCAAGGAGGGAAAAAAAAAATTGCAAACTGCCTTGTTGCAACAATGGCATCCTGTTACAGTACCATACTCAAATTTAGTGAGCTCTTTAGAATGACCCTTTCTTTCATAAATGTTTGTAAAGGCAGACTGTATGGCTAGGTGCTTGATTTTAAACACCTGCAGAAATGAGACTGAAAGAAATACCTGAATTCAATGATTAAGAAGTGTCCCGAGACTGTTGTCCATGTAGCGTGTGTGCGCAATATTTATAATAATCATTAAAACAACTATCTACATAAAGACATCATCATCATACAGGACTATAAACAGTCAGGACTGGAGTTGTGAACCCCACCATAGCACAGACCTTTACCAAGAACAGTAAAGCTACTCCAACATAAAATATAGCATGAAACAAGCTATAGCATATACCATGTTTTACTTTATTTATAGCCTCTGTTTATCAAAAACACCTGTGACGATAATGCTAATTTCAGCTAGCAGGAATATGAGATTTTCAATTATGTAATAGCATCAAGCTAACAAAACTAGAGTTTTCTCACACAGGGCTCAACACTACATGGTTCAGGTCTACACACGGACACGAAGCTTGTAACAGGCATTCTGGTAACTTTATACATTCCACATACTTTTGCACTTTTTACTTCATACACATGCAGTTTGACTGTAAACATACAAATATTTATGACACTGAGCATTTTTTTTCTTTCTCCATGCCAGGTGGGACATAGGTTTTCACCCGTGTAGATTCATGCATACTTGAGATTTGACACGTGCATGTCGAGCTATGCTTACCAATGAACCCTTTCTTTGGGTCTTGACACAGATACGTTAATGTGTATCTTTGCAGAAGTATAAATCAACCGTTAGATAATTTAGCAAGGTCTTGCAAGACCAATCTGACTTCAGCACTGGGCTAACTTTCAGAAAGTACTACTAGTCAGTGTGATGATAGAGAGTGAATGTGCATGTATTCAATTAATTGAAATAATGTTTTCTACGAAGTGGTAAGCAATTATAAGAGGAACAAATGGTGTACATATACCATCTCACAAACTTACTTGGCAATTTGTCTGTAGTCCTCACGATTCTCTCGTCCCACTTCAATGGCTTTCTCACAATACTCTCTACACTTGTCAAACTCCCCCATCTCAAAGAACACAGCTAAAAATAGAAAAAAGAAAAAAAAAAGACTGACACTGAGGAATGGACACTTTATATAACACAACTGACAAAGTTCGTGTTGAATAAAAGGAGTCAGAATGTTGAGACAAAGAGCAATTTACAGCTTGTCTGAATGAGCACTGAAGGTTTGATCAGGGTTAACTGGGTCAACTTGACTGTATTATAAAGGATATTAACCCAGTAGTGGATTCCCTTAACATTTAACTAAGGAATAAAAAACACCTATTTCACTGAAGTACAAAGCCTGCTCCTGTAAAAGACGTTTCTCAATAATAATCATTTGCTTACGTGTGAAACTTCAGTACAGTGTCTTTTGTCTAATTTAATCTAAGATTTTAGTGCATAATTTTTCATTTGACACATTTTAATAAAATTATTATGCCAGTCTATTCCTTAATATGGGCAGACTGAAACTGAACAATAGCTACTTCATTATGCTAGATGGCACTATGCACCTTTTAACTGCTAACTGGGATTGAAGAAGTCTAGCTGTTCACTTGCAACGTCACAGACCAACATAACAGTTAAAAGAGTCATCCCGCTAGTGATCTCCAGTGTTGAAATTATGAAGAGTGAAAAACAAATTCACAGAAAACATCCCAGAACAAGATTGTGGCATAAAAGCCACATGTTTAGCTGTAATTTTATTCTATTTTTTTCTTTTTATTTTGTTTTATTCCTATTTTTGTTGCATATTTGTTGTAGATTGTTATTTAATTCACACTTGCTTATTTTATGTTCTTTCTTGATAACATTCTTGCATACCAAAATAAACTAGTTTTGCTTTAGGTTTCAAAATGCTATGTTTTGAAATACATGATTTCCTCCAAGTACCAATATTAGAAGATATCAAAAAATATATCTTCATAAGATTTTATTTTTCTTTATAAGATTTTATTATTTTACACAAGTAGCCTGTTAGTACCAAAAAGGCAAGGTGCTTTGTAAGACTACCACACAATCAAATAAATGCACGTAACGCAGCTGTCTTTAAAAAGACACCTTTGTCCTGGAGATACTTGCACACTTTGTTAAACACTTCAATTAGGAAGGTTACATAATGAAATATTTATGCCTCCCTGCTGTGATGGAAAAACAGGCACTTTGTCTGACCCTGGAACTGAAATAACAAGCAGCTTGAGGGGGTTGGGGGAAATATTTATGCTCTACACCCAAACAGCTCCTGCAACATATGGTGGGTGTGTAGGAGGGAGTCTGAGCACACTGCAAGGGTGTGTGCGTCAAGAAAGGAAGAGAAGGCAAAACACAGAATCAGTAGAAAAGACATGCATGTTTGAATTTAAAATGCATACCGGCCTGATTGGACAGACAGGTCATGTTGGTGGGGTCATGCTTGCACGCCTCCTCATAGTGTTTCAGAGCAGTGGCAAAGTCCTTCTTTTTGTACGCTGCATTGCCAAGCTCCTTCTCCTTTAATGCCTGCAAGAGAGATGAAAACTGTCACTCACTTATCATGTAAACAGCACATGAACCATTTTTACAAGTTGGAGTTTAAAGTCAACAGTGATACTTTCTCTAAATGTCCTTATTACACCTTACACCTAATTTTCCTTGCTTTTTTGAAACTTGAAATATGTATAATGTGGTCGAGTTTCTAAACATCATTCACTAACCAGTTCACACCATAAACTGTGGAAATTATGCTGTTTTGAATGCACTGTTTCTATGAACATCTATTATAATGGACCTTAAAGGAAAAAAATAGAATACAAGAAAGTAGCCCTAACTGTTTAAGGGATCAATATCACAAAACTCATTTGTTTTATATGGAAATATAAAAGTTAAAATAAGAGTTTTAGGTAGCATATGAACATTGTTAAGGTCCATACAGTCCATATGTGAAAACTAAGCTAATCAGCCTGCCCACATTGATGTTCTAAGGAGTGGTTGTCAGAACAATAGTAACTTTACAGGAGAAGGAAAAAACTCCTCGAGTTGAAGTTACCGGAACTAGATTTTTTCCCCAAAGAATTTTAGCTTTTCTATTGCTCCATTCATCATGAAATGTTAGCATGTTGTAAAGAACAGCTGGCATTTTCAAATTCTGAAAACAAAACTGGAGATATGAGGTTTTGTAACAGAAGCCTGTGTAATTCTAAGGCAGTGGTTCTTAAACCAGTCCTCAGGAATCCCCAGATGGTCCAAATTTTTTGCTCAACCCCCATGCACGGCAAGGCTGGAGCAAAAATATGGACTTTTTGGAAAACACAGGACGCAATGGATGGCGGAGGCTTTTGAGAGCTTCTGATGTATAAAGCTAGCCCACATCATGGTATTTATTTTCATATTAACATGGGTTAATAACAAAGCCCATCATAGTCATTTTTTTATTTTTAGTCATATAGTACTAGGATAATATAATAATAAACCAACGTAATATAATACAATATTGGTTACAGTTGTCAGCTTTACACAAAACAGGGTTCTTACGTAGGGCATGGTCCATAAAGAGAACACTTCGTAGTGTTAAAAAGTATGGTTTATTTACTTACAAGCAACTTGAAACATGCGTTTCTGTTAAGGGTCACACTGTTTTAGGAACTGTAAAATTGTATTATGATTAAATTTTACTAGTTTTACATATGAAATTCAGAACAGAGTTTGTACCAATCTCTTGTTCTCTGGTAAGTCTTCCTCTTTGGGAGGGGGTGGGGCTGTCTCTTTAGGTTTAGGGGGAGGGGGTGGAGTTGGCTCCTCATCTTCCTCCATGCCAGCCAGGTCCAACCCCAGTAACACTGAGAGAGTCGTCATCACTCTTGGGTCCTGCAACCTCCTACACAGAGTGAGTGAGTGAGTGAGTGAGAGAGTGAGAGAGTGAGAGAGAGTGAGAGAGAGAGAGAGAGAGAGAAAGAAAGAAGAGCGCAAAAATTAATTTCAGACTGGAGGTGTAGAAAGAAGAGAGAGAGGACAAGTAGACTATGACTACAGTGTGGGCTTGAGAGATTGACAGGTAGACAGCAGTGTGCACAAAAGAGAAAAATTAAACAGGAGTGAAAGCAGCGATGAAAAGAAGTGATTCTGCATAGACTGGAGATCTGTGAAAGGATACAGCTAAAAAACAAGCAGGAATGATAATGGCAAGACTGAGACAAAGAGAGGTAGAGAGATGAAAGATTGAGAGAGGCGCTCTGAGGGGAACAGCACTTACGTGCCAAGTTCAGATGGCTTGGTGCGGAGCTGCTCCAGCAGCTCTCTGTAGCTGGGGTCGGCCAGCAGTGCCCGTGTCCGAGGGTCTGCCTCTAATTTCTCATACAAGTTGGGCATAGCAAATGGGTTCATCATCTTCTTCTCTGAAGGGAGAACACATTGAAGAGAAACATTTAGTATGAGCAGCAGACAGGTTTGGGAGATTTAACAATATTATCGCCGCAATTTCTACAGTCCAGACTAGGTGCAACATGTTGATAAAAATCAGTAACAGGGATAATTTGAGTGCACCGTTGTCCAGGTGGGGGAGGGTGAGAGACAGCAGGAGAGTGAGCAGTAAGAGCAATTTAAATAATAAAGTTAGCTAGTTACTATACATAATTAGCAAAGCTGTCCTGTCTGAATTTGCTTTCCCTTAGTTTGAAAGAATGCCTAGCTCAGGAACCTTGAAGCATGCAAACTCAGAAAAGCACTTTGAGGTCATTAAGCTAGCTTAAACCTTCCTGAAATTAAATGAATGAATGCAATGATTTATACTCAACATTTCATTTCACACCCTGCACTGCATTAATTCCAATTAAGCAGCAATATTATTGCTCTATTTGTAAAGAATGTGCAGCTGCTCATTGTTAGAACACTACACAGGCATAAGCATACTATAAAAGAATCTACACCTGCTAGCCGCGCCTCAATGTTCTGAAGCCCCTCCTTTAGTTGCTGGTTCGAAGACTCGTGTCTGAGACCCTCCTGATAGGTTGCTTTGGCTTCCTCTAATCTCCCCAGAAACTCCAAAGCTGCAGCCTTTCGTGAGTAACCCTGAAATTAGAACAGAATGAAATCATGTTTGTTAGCCTTTCCTGCCCTGTTAAAGTATCATTGGAGATCATTTCAACTGACACTGCTACTATTTTCACTTTTTTCAGATAAGTAAATGAAAAACTTTAGATTTTCTGAATAAGAAAAGTATTCTGTTTGCCACTGAGCCACCGTCATGTCTGCGTTATATGTGGGTACAAGGACTGCGTGACCTTAAAGGAGCATTCTGTCCTAAAACTAGCATTTATTATGTTATTTGTCATATTACACAACATTCTGCACTGCAGCACTGCATCCCTCAGTCTCACTAGTTTGGCAGAACGCACAATTTTGTGTCCTTTTTGTGTTTTTCGTCCACCAACTACAATTTCCAGCATGCACTGTGCAATTAAACCATATATATCCATTGGGAACATCCTCAACCCATGATAAAGAAATACTGACTGCTAGCATGGCCACTAACGTACAGTAGGGCTGTAAATATCAGCATAAAGTGTGATGTTTGATAAAGCCGCCGGCTATCACAACGGCAATATGACAGCTGATTAATTATAAATTATATTGATAAATTATTTTCACAATAGTATGATTCTGACTGGATGTGAGGCAATTACAGTCATTTTTGGACATGTAAACAGAAATCTAACTAACCTCTCCTTAAAGCAAATAGTAAAATAAATTAGAAACAAAACATTAACAGCTACTTACATTCTATCACATTTTATGTGCACTGAAACTGCTGAGAAACAGTCAACATTACCTCAACAGCTTTTTCTATAAAGGCTCCAAAATGAAATATACATATTATTTTTTTGTATGGGCACACAAGAACAAACAAATATTTTTTTTTGTGTGTATGTTTATTTATTTATTTTTAATATGTTTGCTGTGTCAGTAGTCATTACTGCTTTGCACACTTAAAGACTCAGGGAACCTAAATCTGCTTTCTTATTAATTAGTTTAATCTTGTTCTTGCAGGCAAACAGTAAATATAATCAAATGACCAAACTAACCCTTTGAATAATAACCCAATGACCAATAAATGACTGATACATTTCACCGTACTTCTCTTCTCTCGATGTAAACTGGGTGGCTTACTTTTTCAGTAACCTGGACCTAAATGCACACATCTTATTGACTGTATAACAGTGTACCATAGTGCAAACTAAGACAAACATTTTTTTAACAGTACTAAAAAGATCCCATCACGTTCGTGCCCCAGTTTGTTTACATAATATCTATGTAAGCCATAATAATACCTGCTCGTTCAGAAATCTTGCTGTGAAAACTCCCAGATTGAGTATTTAAGGTCAGTGGTCTTCAAAGACTACAGTTAAGACCTTGTGCTCGCATTAGAAATGTGCACAGGTACCAGAGTACTGATCACTGTTTGACGTGCCAGTATTCGAATACTGAAATCACATTTAGGTACATTATGTTTCAGCACAGGAAGAAGAAGAAAACAGAGAATAACACTTCAATGAAACGCCCCTTTTATGTTTTGACGAGACTATAAAATATGAGTTTTGTTTGTATTTGCGAGTAAGTATGTGTATTACACTGTGCCACTCCAAAACACGGGTGCCTTAACGTGAGTGCGTTGACACAGATGTGATGAACCAGTTAGCTGTAGTTTTAGCTCACGTCTGAAGAGGAAGCCTTCGTTACCCAGCCAACATGGACACTACTGATTTTTCTCTGCTTTCTTGAGTAATAAAACATGTTTTCAAATGTAATCTTCTGCTTGCTGCTAAAAGTTTGTGCTACTGATTTAGTATCTTAACACTAGAGCTACCACCTAAAACAGTATGCAGAATGCACAGGCCTAGCTAGTATCCATCAACTTCTCATCATATGGCTGGCCTGGCATATCTGAAGGAGAATGGAACGAAAAAAGATCATTCTTCAAAAGGCGGTAATAACACTACTCACCTTGCCCCAGTCTGGCTTGATCTTAATGGTCTGGCAGGCATCCTTCAGAGCATTATCATAGTCAGCCTTTTTGGCGTAGGCAGCAGAGCGGTTGCTGAAGAGGACGTGATTGGAAGGGTCTAATGCCAAGGCCTCCGTGTAGCAGCGCACCGCTTCATCAATGTTTCCTGCGCTCAGCGCCTTATTACCCTGGTCTTTCAGCTGAGATACCTGAGGACAGAGCATCACAGTTATGGTTCAATATTTGAAAAAGAGCAAGATGAAAGGTAACATTACAAACTTCAGTAAACATGCATTGTGAATTGTTCAGAAAAAAATGTTAGCTTTAGTCTGATATCAGGCTTCTTCTCATTACATATCACTACTTGTGGTATTCTACATAGGCATGGACAAGTCATGTGACCTGCGCTCGAGTCACGAATTTGATGACTTGAGGCTCAACTCAAGAAATCGATAAAGACTTGCAACTCGACACTGACTCGATCGTCAATAACTCTAACTTTGACTTAGAAAGACTCAAGACCCAAAGTAGAAGAAGCATGGACAGGCGTCTAACTGCAGACTGCTATGCAGTCACTTTTGACGTGAATGGCTTTGTTTCCTGCCGTAAATCTGATAACACAGCAATGTCGTCAAACGCCTGTTAGTGTACTTACCCCATTTCTTATATTATTTCAGAAGACAAGTGAAGTATTTAGAATTTAGAAAGTTATGGTAGAAACAAGCGAAACATCAATGGGCCCTAACTCAGCTATTTAACTCCAGACTTGCTGAAGAAACTTACTAGGTGAATAGAGCTTTTTCCTAAAGATAGCAAAACAAAAGAAACAGAGCTCTCTCTATTTCACTGATTTTAACAGCTTCTGCAAGTAAAACAAGCGCAACATTCAGCATGAGGTGGAACTTGACTTGTTATTCGCCAGCTTCATTCAACTTCATTCAGGCAACTGGTTGCTGCAGCATTTAAGGTAGAATGGAAAATCTGAAGAAGCCAACTTCAGCTTCGTACATTCACCATCACTTTGCTGTCGTTTCTATAAACTTTGTTCAACTCGGTCATTTTGTTTTCTGTTGTTGTCTAAATTCAATTAGAACTAGCGGTTGTTTTTAGTTCACTGAGGTAGTTTTAGTGCTGAGTTAGTTATTTTCTGAATCCTACGCTCCAAATGCTACCAAAAAAAAAATCATTTTTTTAATTAAGTTTAATAATAATTTGAAAATTATTCTCATGTGTAGTTGCACAACTCTTTGTGCATACTATTACTGTTATCCATGTATCATAATTTTTCTGCTTTATTTGGAAGGTTTGAAAAAAAGAAAACACAATATACAACCATACACTACTAACATGCAACCACTAAAAGGGTATATTACAGTTACCTTTATCGTTGGCTTTCAATGTTGAAATGGCCTTAATTTAGCTACAGAATGCAGACTGACTTGTTTGGTACTCAAGGACTGAAGACTTGAACCGAGACTCGACTGTCCTTACTTGGGACTTGACTCAGGACTCGAGTGTCAAGACCTGAGACTCACTTGTTACTTGCAACTTAGTGACCTGTTTCAAGCTCTGGAATTCTAACTATATGCCTTAGTTACGTTACTGACATGAATGCGACTAGGCAGCTCTAACACCTACCATCAAACTGTGCACATAAAAAGGCTTCTTCTTACTTGCATTATTCAAAAGGAGACACTTCAGGGTACAGCTGGGCAATACAGTAAAATATAATATCGTGATACTTTGAGATGTTTTTCATAATACACAATATTCATTTTTCTGACATCTGATAAGTTTGAACAAAGTATTGCCACATTTTAAACATATTATCAAAAATTATAAATCAATTATTTGTATTCAACATCTTACACACTGTGCTGCACTAAATCCAATTAAACAGGACTAATTTTACCCTCTTTTTAATCAAACATGCAGTTAGGAAGTGATTTGTAGGTACTGATGATATCCAGGATATTCACAGAAAAGGCATACTCTGATGTAATTCATCACGATAACGATAAAGACTGTCATACTGTCCTTACCAGGGACAGCTGCGGTACTACACCTGTTCTGAAGTGTGTATCACAAATGTCTCTGACAGCTGACAGCAGTCACATTCGAGTCAGCTGGCCGAGTTACAGCCTGGAGACTGCCAGAACTGGTCGATCCGATTACTTTTTCGTGGCTTAATAAAAAGTATTGTCGTGCCATAGCCGTTAGCTTCGCCTCAAGCTAAAGCACCTGACTAAAACGAACAATTTAAAGACAGAAACATGTAAATAGGGACATGTAAACCAGGTAGCATCACCAAAAACTAGTTTACTGTCGAGAGCATCTCATAACCTGTAACAGCTAACAGTCCGCTATTTGCCCAGCAAGACAGGCACAACCAATTTGAGAATAAAACAGACTGTCACGGTCTAAGCTGGACTCCTGACCAACATGTACTGTCACGAATTAATGTTTTCCCCCACATAAAGCAGCTTGGTTAACCAGCTAGCTAGTCTGGATGTATATGAACCTCTGAGCATTAGCTAAAGGACACCTTTAATCTGTCGCAGTCCTATGCAGCAACAGCAGTTTCTCTGCAAAGACTCTCTAGCTCTGCTAGGTGCTCAGTTAGCTAGGTTATGTAGCTAGCTGACAGGAGCTAAGTTAGAATGAGCTAAACACGCGAGCTAACGGAATTGAGGTGCGATAACAAAGTATTACCACACTACCATAGACGTTTATACGCAGCTTGGTAGAGAAATGTCCTGACACTTGTATAACTCTTCCTTTTAAGTATTTTAATAGCTACGCTATCCATTTAGCACCGTAGCTAACAATGAGCATCACTGCAGCGCCTATCACACAGCTAATGTTAGCTTGCCAGCTAAGGAACTTGTAGTGCGGGTTTAACGCCTGATACTGTGGCTGAACTGTCCATTTAGCTAATAACAAAAAATCTAGCAGACGTGTAGCTCTTCAGCAGCGGCCCCTTAGCGCTTTGTCTTTCTCAGTAAATAAGGATAATTTCAGGGAGAAGTGGTACTTACTTTCTCCATGGTGCAACCATGAGGTTCCAGAAACTACTGTGAGACGACAGTGGAGGAGACGCGCCGCCCACCGCGCAATATGACTGTACCCGAACATGGGTTGCCATGTTTTACAAAATTCCTCTGCTTGCACGGCTTCGCTTGCAAAGCTATCTCGATAGCTAATTTATCAAAAACAACCTTTCACACCGCGCTTGTTGCCCATTTCCAGTCGATAGTTCAACAAGAGAAAGATTTTTACATTTGTCCTGAATAAACGGCGGTTTATTTCGTAGCTCACGCCGACTCAACGTAAATAGAAGGATCGAGAAGTTCCTGTCAGCTTCAACGGTTCGCATATTGTGCGTGAACGATTTGGCAACCCGCTCTTCACGGGAAAGTGAAGCGCCGTGCTTGCGGTATGTGACTTTTCTCATCACCGTAGATGCGTTTTCTTCTCTGATTGGTTTCCTTACCGTACGCGAAAAAGTTTAGAGCAACCAGAAGTTAGTGCGCTGAGGATGAGGGGAGAATTGTAGAGGGGTAAGCGCCAATAATTTCCAGTTAGTTCTGGAAGGTTCAACTTCGAGGAGAATGCAGAAATAGCTCCAGCTGTGGTGTTTACGCCTTTTAATAATCTCTAGAGACACTGAGAATGTACTAGCATTCCCTCTACAAGTTCAAACTGTTAAAGATAGCTTAGGTAACAACTGTTCTGTGGACTATATTTTTGAAACCACCACAATGTAGATACATTACATGTCCTGAAGTATCCAGACACTCCCTTTAATATTGAATTCAGCTAGTTCAAGGTCCCCAGTGCTGACACAGGTGTTCAATTGCGCGTACACAGTTGTATAATCTCCATAAAACATTGCCAATACAATAGGACGCTCTGGAGCAGCTGCACATGAGCACAAGGTCACCTTTGCTCAATGCCAAGTGTCGGCTAGGCAGGGGTATAAAGCCCTCCAACTTTGGGCTGTGGAGCAGTGGAGCAATGGAACTGTATTCTCTGGAGTGATGGTGCACCATCAGAAATACCACTGGGATGAGTTGGAGTGGCATTTTTGATCCAGATCTAATCATCCAACATTAGTATCTGACCTCACAAATGCCCTTGTGACTGCAATCAGTTCTCACAGCAATGTTCCAGCATCTAGTGTGAAGCCTTCTCAGAACAGTAGAGGCTGTTGTAAACAAAGTTAAAGGGAATTTCCACTGATTTTTGCATAATAGTTTGTTGAGATGTAATCAAAGTCATGAGTGGTTTGATGTGAAATTGTAGAGAATCTTACTGAGTTGGATTTTCTTTACAATGGAGGTGACAAGATCCGGGACAGCAATGTCTACAACACACACACACACACACACACACACACACACACACACACATTTTCTAAACCGCTCATCCTTCTGGGTCGCAGGGGGGTGCTGAAGCCTATGCCAGCGGTCACTGGAAACACCTTGGACTGGTGACAAGTCCATCGCAGAACAATGTCTACAGCACATATATGGCAAATAAATCAGTTTCTGAGTTTTCTTTGGGTACTAACAAAACTTCATTTTTAAAAACTTCCTTGTATGAACCTCTCTGCTATTGACAGATTTAAAAAAAATGTTTTAAGCCAGAAAGTAACATAAAGCAATGTCACAGCCATCAGGCAACGCAGTCATAGCCCAATCCCAGTTTAGGCGTTTTGTGCCAGGTTGCCATGTTGTTATGTCATGTAACAACTTTCAGTGAGGGAGATTTTAGAGACCTTAAACTCTTTGGATGTCTGGCTCCTATCACTACCACTGTGAACAAGTCTGACTTGGTAAGTTTCTTTAGAACTGAACATTTCACACCAAACCACTCTGAATGATTCAAATCTTATAGATTTATTTAGAAATTTTGAAAAATCAGTGGAATTTCCCTTTCAGTGTTCACTGGCGGTTCTTGTTTTCATAGTTCATGAGGCTTATATGCATGAGTTTATACATTCTAGCTCACAGTAACTGGCCCAAAACGCCACCAGCTCAACCATTTTACCCCTGACTCTTTCCTGGTATTGCCCTCAACCTCTGTTTAATTCTTAGAGCTCTATGTGCCGAGATGCCACGTTGTTACCATGACAATGTTTTTTCAGTAAATTTGAAGAAAATCTTTAATGGCTGGTTTTTATAGATTTTTCTTTAGACGTTCACATGCCAGTCGTATCCAGAGTCTGCTTTAGTATATGAGGCCTCACTGATTACAGATCCTGACACACATTCCACTGCAGCTCTTAGTCTGTCTGATTGAGGAGCAGCTCTCATTCAAAAGCTCTTCACCCAACAGCGGCAGCAGCAGCAATAGCCTCCACTTACTGAGGCTGCAATCAATACTACTCTCTCTCTCTCTCTCTCTCTCTCTCTCTCTCTCTCTCTCTCTCTCTCTCTCGCTCCCTCTCTCGTGCTTGCGTTTGAACTTTATTTCCTTCACTACTTCATTTTGTTTACACCTTTACAAATACCAGTTGTCTCAGTCAAATGATAATTCATTAATTTATTTATGTACAGTACCATGTACCACCCTCTAATTATTTAATTTCCAGTCAAAACAGTCATTATGTGCATGTTACTCATTTTTCCCACATCAGAGAAATAATATATTTCAATAGAAAATTACACAGAAGCCTTAAAACCTAAATACAGTATCATTTTTTCAGCTTTCAGTGTGTCCACCCTTTATTCCCTTTTCTGTTTTTTTCAGCAGGCTTTCTTTCAGTTTTTTTAAAGAAATCTGCAGGGATACTTTCCACACCTCCAAAGTTCAGTCATAGAAGTTGGTTGCATGTTCTGCTTCATATGATACAAGTAATCCCAAACACAAATAGAGATGTTGAGGTCTGGACTCTGGGGTGGTCTGTCTGTTGTTCTGAGAACACCAGCAGCTTCTTTGTTTGATTTGCAAATTTTCTTTTCTTAGTATCAGCTTCTTCTCAGCTACACATCCTTTCAGAGTTATAGTGTTGAGTTGTCTTCTCACAGTAGAAGGATGGACAAAAACACTTGTGGACTTTTTCAGATCTGAAGCAAGAGTGGAGCTTGATTTTCTTTAAAAGATGAAAGCTGAAAGTACAAGTACAGCAAAAATATGATTCTTCATGGGTTCTTTAGTAAAGGCAATGGTTCTATTTAGAAACATCTATATGTAACTATTATATATGTAACTTTCATGCTTAAATATTTCTTTGCATGGTGAAATGGTTCTTCAGATTGATGGAGAATATGTTGTATACGGTTCTATACAGAACCTTTTTGAAAATGGTTCTATATAGCACCAAAAGGGGTTATAGAACTATTTTCTCTATATCATTTAATCGTATATGATTCCAGTTTTGGAATCTCCTGTGTTTCTGCACTAATTTTTCTTAGCCTTACCCTATGCAAGTAATACATTCTATCGAAACTCCACAGAAATGCATCCAGAAAATGAAGAACTTGTGCTAATGGCTGCTTTGACAGGAAACTAATGAAATTGTGTGTAGTTCCGTTCATCAAACACCAGATGGCAATGTTAGCCTATGTGACTGAACTTGTGTTACCACACTGTGATATTTCTGTGTGTGTGTGTGTGTGTGTGTGTGTGTGTGTGTGTGTGTGTGAGTGAGTGAGTCAGTAGGCTCGATATCTTTCATAATGATGTATACCTCTGCAGTGCTAGTAGCATGTAATGTATGGCTGTATGGCTGTATATATCCATGGCTTGTCATGCCTCAGCCATTTCATAAATTAAAAGAAAAAAATCCAAGTGAACACAAAATGAATGAAAAAGAAGCATTGTTTTCTGCTTCTGAAATCACTTACAACCATCACTATCAATTATCAGTTAATACTTATCATGACGGCCCCTAAATCCTCATTAAATCACTCAAGCGAGCTTAAATTTGGACAATATCATGCATATAATGCTTTAGTTAAAGAAATCTTCCAGCATTTTTAATCTAACCTATGTCTGACACATCTGTAGTGTATAGTTGCTGAGCTCTGACAGTAGTTTTGATGCATATTTGTTTACCTGAACAGAAAACCCGTTGACTCGAAACACACATGTACTACACTTAGTAAAGACGGTGGTTCTGTATAGAACCATGAACACTCAAAGAACTATTTTTGCTTAAAGGGTTTTTTTGCATAATTAAGCGGTTCTTCAGATGGAGAATTCTTGATGGAGAAGGTGTTGTATGTTTTTTCTATATAGAACATTTTTGAAACAGGTACTATGCAGCACCAAAAAGCATTTTTCTATTGTTACAATGTCAAACAAGAGAGGTTTAAATGCTAAAGTATTCCTTTAATTGCAAAAAAAAAAAGTCTCAAAACATACAATGAAAAAAAATCTTTCAGGCAGTTATCACTCAACATGAGAGTGCTGTACTCTAACTGAACTCTCTCTCTCGCTCTCTCTCTCACAGAGTCGGTCTCTCAGAGTGTGTGCGATACTGCCTCACCACTCTGCCTTGTCTCAACCTGACAGATGAGCAGCAGAGAAAGGCAGAGGAAAGAGGGAGTGAAGGGAATGAGGGTTGGAGAAAGTGAGGGAAGGAGAGAATGAAACAATGTGAGGTAGCAAGGGAAAGAGGAAGTAGGCAAACAAGGGAATGAGGTCGTAAGGGAACCAATGAATAAGGAACGAGGAGTGAGGGAACAAGGGAGAGAGGAAATGGCAAAATGAGGTAATGAGGGAACAAAGAAGTGAAGAAGTAAAGGAACAAGGCACTGAGGAAATTAGAGACTGAAAGAACAAGCAGTAAGGGTATGAGAGAGCAAGAGGACGAGGGAGTGGGGGAACAAGAGAATGTGAGAATGTTGGGTGACTAAACAAAGGGACAAGGGAGTGAGAGAGTGATTAAATTAGGGCATGAGAGAACAAGAAAATGAAGGAACCAGGGAATGAGGGAATGAGGGAGCAGTACAATGAGAGAGTGGGGGAACATGGTAACAAGAAATTGAGGGAATGAGGGGGTGAGGGAAGAAGGGAGTGATTGAATGATGGACTGAGTTAACAATGGAATGAGGGGACAAAGAAACAAAGGACTAGGGAGTGGAAAAACATGGGAATGGATAATTGGGGTGAGGAAATGAAGGAAAAAGGAAGTGAGGGAATGAGAGAGTGA